GGCCAAAACGCCCGGTCCTGCAGGCTGGTTCTCTAAGGAGGAAACAGTGCTGAAGGAATCAGATGTTCCTTAGATGGGAACGGGCTTATTTATAGCAAATTACCCCTTGGCCATACCAGCACCCTCCTCACAAAATTCTGTCACTGCTTTTATAGCTGCATTTCTAGCGCATCTGTAACATGTAATTGGCATGCTCAGGCGTTCCTCTGCCCAGTCCTTGGGTGCGCTTTCATGTTGTTGTTGCTTGGTTTAGAACGATGCCCAACAAGCAACATCCAGCAAAACTCATCTGCTAGTGCTAGTCTAACACGGGATGTGTGCTCTGGGTGAATGCGCCTAGTTGTGTCGGGGAAAAAAAAATCTGAACAATTTTTTTTTTTTTTAGTGGCAAATGAGCCCATGGCAAATGTCAGCCCTCACCTACATCAGTAAAGTTTCCCCCAGCATGCAATAAATCAGCCACACTAGCAGATCATCTGCTGTAATATTTGTTACAGTGTATTTAACATAATGTCACAGGCTGTGTATCTAATTTGCATTTATGTTTTTGCCCTGAGCATTTTGCTTTAGCACATAATACTTGCATTCCCTCCAAGAACACTATGTCGCATTGGAGTGCAACGTCCTGGTTTTGCTGAGCTGCAGTGACTGTGGTCACGGTAATATTTATGTCCTGTGCCTGTCAGTGTGTTAGGGAATGAAGCTAAATAACTTTGCAAAGCTGACAAACCTGCTCTGGTTATTTTTGCCCCATCCTTTTCATTTGTGTAACAAGTTTCCAGGTTTGCATTTGGAACAGCCTGTGGTACAAGATAAGGGATCTCCTATCATTGAGATTTCCACTACACTTCCTGGCATTTGGATCGGGCTTTTAAAAAAGGGTACTTCTTCGAAGAGGCACATGATGTTTCACCTTTTAAATTTGCAGCATCTAACTGGGAGATAGAGCCTTCTCTTCTCCTGGACTCGAAGCCAGAAGCCTGCATGGGCTAAGAGCAAATGGGTCAGCCGAGGAGTGGTGGAATAAAGACCCCCTGGTTTCTGCAGCTCTTGGTAGATCCTCTGGTGTCTAATAACATGCATATGCCAGATGAAACTTGGGGTGGAGGGGCGTGCATGCAGGATACCTGTTCCTTGGGTGGCTTCTTTGAGTGAGGAGATGTCACATGGTGGCCTTCCCTGCACTGGGAAAATGAATAAGGGCCCCTGTTCTCCTCCCCTGTCTCTTCTAAAGAAACATGTGAGAACTTACATCTTTGCGACTGTGACCACACTATCAAAGCTGCTTAAAGTTGGCCAAGGGGTTCAAAAGTTCGTGGTGAAGTAGGGAAGGAAGGAAGGGGAGAGGAACCACACAACTGCTGCCTCTGCCCCCCACGCACACACGCTTTGCAAATGAGCAATCAAAGGGCTCCTGGATAAGAGCATGACCACGCCGTGAGGGCTCTCAACCCCTGTGGTTAAGGCAGTCACCCAAGGAAAGGGAGTCTTCCGGGGTGGCTGCTGTGTGTACTGCAACCCGGACCGCCCACTAGGCGAGCTGGTCCCAAGCGGATCTCCCAAACTGGCCCCAGTGCATCTCTCCCGTTGTCCATTGCCATCGCCTCTTCTCTGGGAAGCCTCAGCAAAAAGTGGCAAATGGCTCAGAGCCTTGTGTCCCTACGGTGGTGGCAAGGGGAGGAGAGCCACTGCTGTACAGGAGATACCTCTGTCATACCTGGGTCCCCTTCAAATTCAATGCTCACCTCGTGTTTTGGTGGGGTGTCAAGGCCTTAAACAGGTTGTCTGCTCAGGGGAGTGTTTTCCTGGGAGGATTTCACCTGTGCACCTAACTGAACACTAAGTAAATCATTTTAACATGCTTTAGCCTGCTATTTTTGATACTGCCCTCCAAACACTGCTCTGATTTTGCTTTGCACAGTGACAACCAAGGAAAAAGTTTACTATTTTTTTCCCATTTCACTGTTAGCTTGTTTTTGATCCTTGTAGACTGTCAGTGTAACTTTCACACCGAGTCATATTTGTGTACTTACAATTTTACATCTTGGGACAGGGAAGCCTCTCTCAGTTTTTTTTCTTGTTCTTTTTCAATCTTGATGCTGAATATTCTGATCCTGAATCAACAAAACACTTAAACATATGCTAAGATGAAGAAATAACTATCTAGCTAACTAAGCTCTCTCATTTTATATATGTGCCTCTTAAGAGCTAAATAAATATGTCTATAACTATGGCCAATAAATATGGTCAATAAATTGAATGGAGTAACATTATCTCAGAAGATATCTGAAGATATCTGAAGAGCTTGGTTGGATCAGGGACAGGGTGCTCAATACCTTTGAGGGATCGTATTGCTGAAGAGTCTGGGTGACAATTTCAAAGCTCTTCCCCACAGATTCCTACTAAAATGCGTGGAATCTGGGATTCCAGTTCTTCACACTAACATTGAAGGTTGTGCCCCACATCTGTCTTTCGCTTTCTTCAGCGACTCTTTCCAGTGATAATTTTTGATGAAATTAATTTTTTTAATCAATATTAGAAATATATAATCAATATTTTCAATATATTCAATATAATCAATATTTTGATGCTGAGAATTATTTTGATTTTGTTGAATCACATTCTCTTCTTAGCTGAAATACAGACTCACTCACAAAGAATTAAATGGAATAAATAAGAAAGAGCAATCTAATGTAAATAGCCAGCAGAAGGAAATACTGGTTCACACAACATACTATTAACCTGTAGAAATCATTGCCACAGGATGGAGTCAAACCCAAAAGCATGGCAAACCTCAAAGCACAGATTGAAGAGGATTTCTGAAAGATTCTGAAAGGACTTTACAAAGGCTACAAAACTCCTTGTTTTAAGATTAAACCAAGAATTAATTATTAGGGGTAAACAGAAGACAACAATGGGAGGGACAGATTCTCTCCCATCCGTAGTCCCTCCAACGGTTTTCGGCAGCATCCACGGCTAGACACAGAAAAGCCAGAATACAGTCAAACAGACTAGGCACAGAACTGGGAATGGTATTGGTATATTTATCTTCCCCTGTAAAAATAAAAATTAAGAAATGCTTGCAGAATTTATCTTTCAAGGTCTTTCTACCTTCCTGGTACTTTTTCAATTCAGGAAAAAAAGGCTTATTGACACAAGGAAAGCCGTAACTTACAGCCAGGCTTGGGGTGACTTCAGCTTCCCCACTGCTTTCAGTGTTAATGTCTCAATCTTATATTAGAAATGTAGTGCAAATGAAAAACTGACACATATGCCAAAATTACATTTAAAAATGAGAAACAAATTATACTGTAATTTGTAAGTATTATTTTCTATATTGACTGTAAAAAATTATTCTGAAGAGCTTTTTATTAGACTTTAACAATCAAAATAACAATAGCTGTCCATAAGACACGCTTCCTGTGAAGGCAGGCACCTTAGAGATCCCAAGCACTCAATTTTTAAAATTTTTTAAGAAGACAGAATTTTTAATTGTATTGTAATATTGCTTACCGTGTCTTCATTTCCTCTGTTGTGCAAACACGTGTGGCGATATTTTGAAAATGTCTGTCTCTAGAAGACTGCTGAGGAAACCTCACAGACAGAGAAAAACACAGAGGGAACAATTGCAAAGATTTATTTAGCGCATTCTGTGCTTGGCACTTAGAAACAGAGTTCCGTGCATAGGGCAAATCTTTATACACCTTTTTCTTCATACATATTTTACATACCATTTTTATTGCCCTCTTTTATATTCATAATATTGAATCCCCCACTAGGCATATAAATACATTTATCTACAACACCTCACAACAAATCTCAATAATATCTGTATTCTGTTACTTGGTATTTGCATTTTCACACAACTTAAATGCATAGCTTGCACCAAGCTACAATTGTTTTCTTATTTTTAAAGGATTTGAAGAAAAAAAAAAAAGAGAAGAAAAAAAAACAGAAAAGAAAGACGTCAAAAGGCAATGATCTATTTGGTTAAACAGAGATCATGTGGCAGGCGGGAGGTTGGCGAATACTCGACCTCACTGTTGCTGAAATGCTAATGGTTTTCTATGGCAACTCTTGCATGCAAGGTGAGGGAGGCCGGCTGCGCTTCTGTAGAGCAGAGCTCTCTTTTCTCACTGCTCTTCCCCGTGAGCTCAGTCTGGACAGTTTCCTCCCATTGGGTTGAGTGCTATGGGACACACAAAGGTTCCCCACAAAGGCTGTCGTCCTTTCAGTTTGGGTGCATCGCTTTGGGTCGCATCAACAGGAGCTGCGCCCCCTCTCCCCCATGCATCTTTCCGAAGATCAGTCCCTGCTTATGTCTGAGGCTCACTCGTAGGTTAAAACTTTTCTCTCTCTTCTCTCTCACCTCTGTCTGCAGGCTGGGTGCTGGTAAGCTCTACCCTCGCAAAGCAACAGCTTGTCGGGCAGAGCCATGGTGAAAATGCAGAAACCTCTTTGGGAGGAGAAGCTCCAGCGCAGCAGCACCATTCCTGTGCTACAGCGGGAGAAGGTGCCACGGGCCACTGTTGCGTTCAGAAATGGGCTGAGCCACTCCAGCAGTGAGGAACAGTCTGGGAAGGGGGAGGTCTTTAAAGCTATGGGCAGTGCAGCTTCAGAGGACGAAGCCTTGGGAGACTGCCTTTTTTTGACACCTGGAGGAGACAGCACAGGGGCACGGCTCCCTCCACGCCAAGAGCTCACACAAGCTGAGAGTTAATGCATAAACGGTATATTCAGCTGCTTCTCTCCAGCTTCTCGTTAAAGTCATGCCCTTCTCTCTGCAATGTCCAGAAAGAGCAGACGCTCCGTGCCAGGTCTGGAGGCCCTGGGCTACAACAAGCTGCGATGGCTATCAGTTGAGGCTTTCCACAAGGTTCTGTGGCGCATACCTAGATGGCTTGTGTTCTTTTTTATCATTACAATACTAGTTCCACTATAAGTTTGAAGGCAAAAAGGTACTGGGATGGGTTTACCCCTGGAAATTACGAAGGTCCGGCTGCCTTCGATGCCAAGGAGAGGCACAGCTTGTTAGACCATGTGCACAGACATCTGTGAGGAGGAGCCCTGGACCGCACCGTACTGTCTGTTGTCACAGGCGTTGGCCATCTGCTGGTTGCCGGAGGGGGGACTGATCATGTGCATCCCATGATCCATCCCCGTGGAAAGGTATTGCCTCTCTCCGAAGGCCCCGCTGGATGGGGAAGAGCAGAGTAAAGTGCTTTGGGAGGTGGCGAGTTTCTCCGGGCTCGCTGCCAGCCTGGGGGAAGCAGGGAAATTGTATCCATAGAGGTTGTAGGGATTGTGCAGGGAGAAGGCGTTGTAGGAGCTCTGCTGCATGTGGCCGCCACCGAACATGTGTGAAGAGGAGGAGGTGGAGGCAGGGTTGCCTGCTTGCATGACATACTGAAACTGGGAGCTGGGGAAGGACCCCAGCTGGCCGCTGTACGCCTCCATCTTGCTGTTGCTGGGCAGGGAAAAAAAAAATCAAGGATGGAGTCCTCTGAGGCATGAAGGTTTCGGAGGGCTGCGAGGCGGAAGTGGTGCCACTCTGCAGCCGGTTGTAGCCGCCGTCGCTCAGCCCTGGGTAGCTCTGCAAGGCGGCCATGTTGCTTCTGGCACACGGGGGATAATCAGACAGGTTGAGGTTGCAAAGCTGACTCTCCCGGCAGCCAACATTGAAAGTGTTGGGGGCCAGATGAAAGGCTGGAGGGGAGCAGGATGGAGAAAGAAGGTGAGAGGAAGCGGAGGGCGACGGGGTCCCCGTGCTGGAGGTGGTCGGGGAGGTGCCTGTGCTGCCTCCTGCAAAACAAAACACATGGGAGGATGTTCAGAGCCCGGGACCACATCTGCAAAATGAGACAGTCTCATTAAAAAACAGCTTAGTTTAATAAAGAAACAAGGGTGGTAAAATGGCCGCTGGAAAACTCAGCCTTTCTTGGCAAGAGCCTTCACTTTATGAATAGCATCCCTTGGTCTTTCTTGCTGCTTTTTTGTTATGATTTTGTTTTTCAACGGAGATTTTCTTCCCTTTTAAAATAGGAGAGGGAAGCAAGCGTGCTACAGAGCAATCAAAGGCAGAGGGAAAAGCTGCAAGGAAGCACCACTCCATCAGTCAAGAGAACTGCCATTTCCATGCATGTTTATGTGTCTTTTTTTCAAAAAAAAAAGTCTCGTCTCCCTCTCTTGGTCTGCAGGAAGACCACCAGTCGGTAGGCTGCATGGCCCTGCTACAAACATGCTTTATTATCCGCTCTGGGGGCTTGCGGCGGGAAGTGGCTAAAAGCATGTTGGACTTCTGAACTGTTCAACAGTTTTTTCGGATGGCTCGTGGTGCAGCAGTACTGATTTAAGCCAGAAGTAACACTAAAATGAAGGGACACAGTTTCAAGCTATAGCCTGTTCCACCGAGCAGAGAAAGGGGATGTGTCAGGATTTTCAATCATGTCCTTTAACTTTAAAAGGGATTCCATATGTTGTATCACTGGTGTTAACAAAATATTGATATATATGCACGCCGGTAGTATCAATGTATTATACATTATTTATGGTATGAATGATAGAATTGATTATTTTGCACAGCAGGCCTGTGAAAATAATACTGCGTAATACTCCCAAGAACAGTAACAAACTGAAAGTAAGTGATAGGAAGAAGCTGATGGCACAATTTTGAGCTTGAGAAGAAATTATTTATAGGCAAGATTCTGAGTTAGAGAAAGCTTCCTCGGTCAACCAGGACAATCAGTTCTGTCCTCAAGGGAATGCAGTTTTCTGGTGTGAAACTTTTTCTCATTTGAATGATTCCCTTCGCATAAGATCCCATTTCTGCATTAGGGCAACTAACACTGAAGAATCTTGTAAAAGGAGCGAAGAGGTGCTGGTGAAGAGATTTGGCCAGGGGATAAGTAGGACCAGAGGAACTAGGAAGACTGGTGAGGCAGCCTTTTGGACAGACTAGAAGATGACAGGTGAGAGGCAAAGGGACTGGAAAAGAGGGCATTAGAGTGGGCAGCTGAAATTTAACCAAGGCAGAGATTGCACATTGAGGATCAAAAGTAAGGGACAGCTTTCTCTTGTGGAAAAAAAACAGCAGGATTTTGAGACCAGTCTAGGTCTGCTGCAAAATGGGGGAGGAACTGAATGCAGTGCTGCTTGATGAAAAGAGAACAGGTGATGCTAATGGTTAAGAAATGCACTAGAAAGACAGGTTCTGTGTCAGTATACGATGGTGAGAATGTGAGATCATATCTCAGTACAGGAAAGACATGGACCTCTTGGAGCGGGTCCAGAGGAGGGCCACGAAAATGATCAGGGGGGTGGAATGAATTCCTATGAAGAAAGGCTGAGAGAGTTGGGATTGTTCAGCCTGGAGAAGAGAAGGCTCCAGGGAGACCACATCCTGGCCTTTCAGTACTTAAAGGAGGCTTAG